AGATACCTGTCTACTAGGGCGGCTAGCCAATCCCAAATTCAGACGCTCGCTCAGGCACATTTTGTGTTTGTTCAACACCCACAGAGCCAACCTGTGGTTTATACTGCAACTATGCTGAGCAGACCTTAGCTACAGTTTCTGGGAGAGAGCGTGTTATCTAGTGTGATCTAAACACGGCCAGCACACTCAAACCCTTGGTCACGATGACTTGTGACTTCGTGCTAGCACAGCTATCAACGGTCCCCAAGTTTTCCATCTACCCAATTTCACTCACAAATCTTGGGTTAATCTGTGGTATGGTTTTCAGGCACTTTCCAAAGGTACCACATGCTGGGATCATATGTATGTTTATGTGTGTGTGTGTATATATATATATATATATATAAAAGTCAGACCTCTAGGCACACACTACAGAGAAAGGGTATGTTTAATATAATGTTATTAAACATACACTTAACTTAATATATTAAACATACCTTTTCTCCATAGCGTGTGCCTAGGGGTGAGAGACTCTGACTGATATCAAATTGGTTGGGTTTTGATCCTGGTTTGAAGCATTCACATGTCTAGCCAAACTGATGAGCTGCTATACTGCAAAAGAGTCTGTCTGTGGATGACTGACACACACACACACACACACACATATATATTTTTCTGTTTATATGCTAGTTTTATAGATATAATTTTTGTATATGCTGTTTTCTTAATTAAACAGTCTTAATTACATTTACTGACCTTAATTAATACTGTGTGTGTGTGTGTGTATGTATATATATATATATATATATATATATATATATATATATTCTTATACATATAATTTATTTAAGTAAATGCTCTGTTATTTTAATTAAACAGTTTTAATTACATTTGCCAACCTTAATTAATACTGTTTAATTAAAAAATAGAACATTTACTTAAATAAATTACATCTATAAAAGTAACATATATACAGAAAATATATTAAATAATTGTCGGACTTAATTCATTTCATAATAAATATATATAAATATCCTCCTTGGAATTATCCCTACCAGTCACAAATTGGTTATATATATATATATATATATATATATAAATAACTAGACTCGTTTCGAAAAACCCTCGAATTTTTTGATTTGTTAATCAAATCAATTTAGAGGGGAAAAAGGTTTTAAAAAAAAAAGAGCTACAAATATAAACTTCTGCCGACAAAAAAAATCGCACAGATGCAGGTCTGAAGCCCAAAGAAAAAACCCCGATCGGTAACAACTAACTAACAAAAAAGAGCTCAATACAATCGTAGAGCCCTAGATACACCTAGTGAGCCAGACAAACCTACCTAGGTTTCACCTAAGCGGATCGTCAGGGAAAGAAAGCCCCTGACGATCCGCTTAGGTGAAAACCTAGGTAGGTTTGTCTCCTCACTAGGTGTATCTATATATATATATATATATATATATAGTAACAGTTTATGGTCATATGATGTTGAATGAACGGTTCTCATCCATTCACTGAAATTAAGCAACATCGAGCCTGCTCAGTACCTAAATGGGCAAACACTTAGGAATACCAGAAGCTGTAAGTTTGAATGTGTGGGTGGTATAATGGAGAACAAAGTTCAAATTCTAGTCTAAATTGTTACATTTGTTCCTGTGCAAAATACCCTTGGGAAAGGCATGAATCCATAGTAGGACAAAATAGGTCCTTGGTTGGCAGCCAGTCAAGGAGAAGGGAAACACTGAATTCAAACCAGTCTGAAGAGGGTTGTCAGAAGGCAAATGAGTTTTTAATAGGTGCTAACATGCTAGGCATGGAAAACTATTTAAAAAAGCCTGCAAATGTAGCATCATTTGATATGTTGTACACAATGCGCCAGTACAGGATATGGTGCTATAATTCACTTGTGCAGGTTCTTCGGAAAAAAATTAGAATTTACTGAACCCTCATCTGTCATTCTTGACAGGAGAATCCAGGGTTATTCTGAAAATCTAAAGCAATTGGATTTTATCCATATTATTTTGATTGTCTTTGTTTTTATCGTGTTTTGGCTATGATATGCAAACAACAAAGATGAGGATGCTCATCTGAATAATACAAAGAATTGTCAGCAGGGTTTTTGCATGTAGCCATGAGTCTTATTTATGATGCATTAATGTTGATTTTTTTTCTCTAACTTTGTTGTTATATTGTTTGTTCTCATATCTCTCCACTTTTATGAATATGTCTACATATTCTCATCTCAGTATCTCTGGTAAGAATAACAACCTGTCATACCTATTTATATATGGAAGTCTACATAAATTTGGAACAATTCCTTGATATCTATCTTGATACATCGGCATGTCTTCCACATCATTACTACTCAAACATCTCCGAAATATAACTGAATAAAGTATCAATTATAAACTAAATTAGTTTGGTAAAAACTCCAAAAATATAGCCTTTCATCAAACTCTGTTTGGGAGTTTGCACAATTTAGCCATTTTGTGTAGTTGACACACAATCCTTTCCAGGAATTCTTTACTGACTTTCAGGTACTCCTTGCCAGATTTAAATGTAGTTGAGATTTTGCAATTCATTTATGAGTAACACTGTAATGTTTCTGTGCTATCTTGACATGGGTGCTCAGAGAGCTGTATATGACCTCAAAGCCAGATAATTTTCAACTTGTGCATACATGTAACATCTATGGTAGTCTGCTTATCCAATGCAGGGCTTTCTAGTGATCTAAGATCTCTTGATGGTAAGTTATCATAAGCAGACTATGTTGACAGTGATTGACAACAACCTACAGGGAAATTTATGTCAAGTTTTGTGATAAAGTATGTAGATCAGCAGCAGATCTGTAGAGTTACATGAGATTGTATAGGGACAGGATAAAATTTAAGATGATGCACAAGTCTTTCATTTGTCATATATGTGGGAAAACCTGCGGAAATGAAGTGGGCATTTTGAGTTACATGCTCACTGCTACTCAGTGCAAAATTGGAGAGATTGCTTCTTTCTACCAAAAAGTGGCAATCACTAATATGTAATGAAGCAGTAATTCTTGCCATAATTTCTAACTACTGACAAACCTTTTTTTTTTTTTTTTTTCTGAGATTCCACATACAATATTACAGATGAAAGGGTGAAATTTTCTGAAACAAATTTTAGATAATAAAGAACTCAATTGCAAATTGTTCCTTCTACTGCCACAGATATTTAACTTGTTACTGTAGAAAGTAAATGCAATGAAGTGTGGGTGTGCTGGAATAGATATAAGATTTGTGGGTCAAAACTGAAATCTTGCATGTATTCCAATACAGTAACTTGTTTACATGTACTGTTCCAAAAAATGGTAGCAGTGATTAAGTCATGTTGCAATTACATTGTACTTATAAAGTTTCAAAATCTTTGTTAGTCTGCATTTTCTTGTCCAATACTTTCTGAATATTAAAGCAAATATCATTCTATTGACCATTTGAATATTAAGTCTAAATTTCTATTTCTATGTCTTTGAAAGAGTCTATAACATGGTGATGAATCTTTCATCAGAGGAGTTCATTACATAGATAGGGAATCATTCTATCCATCTTGTTGTAATTAACTCTTCTGATATCTTAGAAACATGTGACACACACACACACACACATATGAAAGAGATACACACATTGCATTTTTTTGTATGTGGATGACTAGTTCTTGACTTCAAAGAATTAATATTGAAGGTTTTGGTAAAAGTGATAAATATATGTAACTTTAATGTATGAATTCCTTTTTGTGCGTGTGTGTTGAAATGCTGCTGCTGTGTTTGTATTAGTGATCAGAAGGTGTCCATCCAAAGACCACAATCAATAGTTCCAACAAGTTTAAGTGTTTACAGAGACATAACTAATCTTTTTTTTTTAGCTTGGTCAACCTAAAAATGACTTGCTAATTTCACCATCAATATCACCCTATGAAACCATATTGACATATACATAAGCTGTCTTTTGCATCAAGGATGCTAACATGACAATCCCATGTGTAAACTGATTGAAAATAAAGGATTTTAAGCAAAAATCCTAAGCACACATATCTGCATCATTCTACAATTGTTTCATCTTGTCTGTTTTTTATTTTCATCCTGATATTTCTGTTTTTCACTTTGTTTCCAAAAAATATCTTACTTCATACAGGTCATAATTTTTCAGCCTAGTTTAAAACATTACTGATACAAATTATGGCAAGTAACATTGTGTAGCACACCTCTTCCTTGTGGAGGAAGCAGCAGTAACTTGCTTTTAAAATCAGCATTTTAAAGGAGTTATTTTTTGTTACTCAATAGTGTGACACAAGGCTTGGTAGAAAAAATTGACATTATTTTTAATGTTTATTCAGGCTTCATGTTTTTGGAAAAGTAACTGCCATGAAAATCAGTTTTCATGTCATTTTCTTTTAAACTGAATTCCAGCACCTATGAATTTCACAGAGCTCATATGAAAGGCTGATGTAAAGTTCCCAAAATCTGACCAAATTTTTTTGCAAGGGATTCTTGGTCAGGTCAAAAAATTTTCAACACCCTATCAAACATAATTGTCTCTGGAAGCAACCTTCTCCAGGATAATGCAAGCAAGCATATACCTTAAAAGTCAGCAATTGACAGGATTTTTATTTGATCTTGAAACAAATCTCATTAGAGGAAGGGAAAGTGATTAGAAAGATTGTGTAGCACCAATTTCCCAACAAGAAAAAATTTGCCTGTTTTGTAAATTAGCATTCAAAATCCTAGCTTGACTTGGGGTTGAATACTTAAAAGCAACCTCTGGCATATGCACAATCGTCTGACCCACCAAGCAAGGTTTCAATTTCATATAGTTTAATTTTTTTATCATTTAGTAAGGGTTGAGTACTGACTCTGACTTTCAAACCAAGTGTATGAGCCCCCCCCCCATGCTATTAGCAGGCCTGCTTTTATTTTATTTTTATTTATTTTTTTTTTTGTGGTATTCACAAGGCAGATTAAATTTCTTGAATCTGCTATTACTATTGATTAGATGATAGGCAGAGGTACATTTATAACTTCTTTTATTTTTTTGGTCTCTCTTTATTCCTTTATCCATTTCTCTGTCTCCTTCTGTATTTCCTTTGTCTTCTTTTCCTTCAGTTCATCTTCCCCCTCCAAATGCTGGTTGCTCTTATTGCATTTTTCATGTCTGCTTTTTCTTTTCTTTATTGGCTGTAAAGCATTCATATATGATGTGAATCTGAGTGTGTGTGTGTGTGTGTGTGTGATAGAGGGTCAACCCTCTTCCTGGGGAGAGACAAAAAGGCAGAAGGATGATCTGTGGTTGCTCAGTATAAATAAATAAGTAAATACATAGGTTGGGGAGATTTTTATTCTTTTCCACATATATTTGCTGGTTACACTCTGTTTTTGTATTCTTTCAGGTCTTTCTCTATCTCTCCCCTCTTCATTCCTCTTTCCACTCTCTTTCTATGGTTATCACTCCTCTCTCTCTCTCTCCATTTGTCTCTCTCTCCCTCCTTGCTTCACTCTCCTCTCTCTCTCCTTTGACCTGACTCTTTCATTTTTCTCTCAGCCTTTTTCTTTTGTTTCTTCCCCCCTCTCTCTCTTTCCACAACAGGAGAAAAAAGAAATGAGAAAATAGAGCTGTGAATTATTTTGAGAAAATTTACAATGAGAGAGAGAGAGAGAGACAGAAACCAAAATCAATGTTGCATGACCCTGACATGAGAGAATGGAAAACTAATGTTAAAAGGAGGAGGAGGAGGAGGAGGAAGGACATTTATTATTTGGTGTGCCTGGAATGCTTAAGAGGATAGCAATGCTACTGCCGCCAGCCACCACCACCACTGCTGCTAATGAATCATTTCTGTACATTCACTTATCTCTCTCTCTCTCTCTCTCTCACACACACACACATACAGCCTGTCTTTTCTTCTTCAATACATGAGGACAGCTTGACAGGTTGCCAGCCACTGTTAATATACAAATGAAGAAATACATTGACAGACTTCTCCCTCTCTTCAACCTTACTTTTCAGTTTAAATTTATCCTGCTTTGCATTTAGTCTTTCTCTCTCTCTGCTCCCCCTCTCTCTCTTACTCTCTTTCACCTTTGGTTTTTCACTCTCACTCTGCTTTATCTTTGGTCTCTCTCTCTCTCTCTCTGTGCTTTGACTTTAGTCTCTCTCCGTCTGAGTTTTGCGTTTGGTTTTTCTCTCTCTTTCTGTGCTTCACCTTTGGTCTCTCTCTCTCTCTCTGTGCTTCACTTTTGGTCTCTCTCTCTCTCTCTCTCTGTTCTTCACCTTTGGTCTCTCTTTCTCTCTCTCGCTCACTCTCTCTCACTCTCTTCTTCACCTTTGGTCTCTCTCTCTCTCTCTTCACCTTTGGTCTCTCTCTCTCTCTCTCTCTCTCTCTCTCTCTTCTTCTTCACCTTTGGTCTCTCTCTCTCTTCTTCACCTTTGGTCTCTCTCTCTCTCTCTCTCTCTCTCTTCACCTTTGGTCTCTCTCTCTCTCTCTTCTTCACCTTTGGTCTCTCTCTCTCTCTCTCTCTCTCTCTTCACCTTTGGTCTCTCTCTCTCTCTCTTCTTCACCTTTGGTCTCTCTCTCTCTCTCTCTTCTTCACCTTTGGTCTCTCTCTCTCTCTCTTCTTCACCTTTGGTCTCTCTCTCTCTCTTCTTCACCTTTGGTCTCTCTCTCTCTCTCTTCTTCACCTTTGGTCTCTCTCTCTCTCTCTCTCTTCACCTTTGGTCTCTCTCTCTTCTTCACCTTTGGTCTCTCTCTCTCTCTCTTCTTCACCTTTGGTCTCTCTCTCTCTCTTCACCTTTGGTCTCTCTCTCTCTTCTTCTCTTTGGTCTCTCTCTCTTCTTCACCTTTGGTCTCTCTCTCTCTTCTTCACCTTTGGTCTCTCTCTCTCTTCTTCACCTTTGGTCTCTCTCTCTCTTCTTCACCTTTGGTCTCTCTCTCTCTCTTCTTCACCTTTGGTCTCTCTCTCTCTCTCTTCACCTTTGGTCTCTCTCTCTCTTCTTCACCTTTGGTCTCTCTCTCTCTCTCTCTTCTTCACCTTTGGTCTCTCTCTCTCTCTTCTTCACCTTTGGTCTCTCTCTCTCTCTCTTCTTCACCTTTGGTCTCTTGCTCTCTCTCTCTCTTCTTCACCTTTGGTCTCTTGCTCTCTCTCTCTCTCTGTTCTTCACCTTTGGTCTCTCTCTCTGTGCTTCACCTTTGGTCTCTCTCTCTCTCTGTGCTTCACATTTGGTCTCTCTCTCTCTCTGTGCTTCACATTTGGTCTCTCTCTCTCTCTGTGCTTCACATTTGGTCTCTCTCTCTCTCTGTGCTTCACATTTGGTCTCTCTCACTGTTCTTCACCTTTGGTCTCTCTCTCACTCTCACTGTTCTTCACCTTTGGTCTCTCTCTCTCTCCACTGTTCTTCCTTTGGTCTCTCTCTCTCTCACTGTTCTTCACCTTTGGTCTCTCTCTCTCACTGTTCTTCACCTTTGGTCTCTCTCTCTCACTGTTCTTCACCTTTGGTCTCTCTCTCTCACTGTTCTTCACCTTTGGTCTCTCTCTCTCACTGTTCTTCACCTTTGGTCTCTCTCTCTCTCTTCTTCACCTTTGGTCTCTCTCTCTCTCTGTTCTTTGGTCCTTTGGTCTCTCTCTCTCTCTGTTCTTCACCTTTGGTCTCTCTCTCTCTGTTCTTCACCTTTGGTCTCTCTCTCTCTCTGTTCTTCACCTTTGGTCTCTCTCTCTCACTGTTCTTCACCTTTGGTCTCTTGCTCTCTCTTCTTCACCTTTGGTCTCTCTCTCTCTCTCTCACTGTTCTTCACCTTTGGTCTCTCTCTCTCTCTCACTGTTCTTCACCTTTGGTCTCTCTCTCTCTCTGCTTCACCTTTCGTCTCTCTCTCTGTGCTTCACCTTTCGTCTCTCTCTCTGTGCTTCACCTTTCGTCTCTCTCTCTGTGCTTCACCTTTGGTCTCTCTCTCTCTGCTTCACCTTTGGTCTCTCTCTCTCTCTCTGCTTCACCTTTGGTCTCTCTCTCTCTCTCTGCTTCACCTTTGGTCTCTCTCTCTCTCTCTGCTTCACCTTTGGTCTCTCTCTCTCTCTCTGCTTCACCTTTGGTCTCTCTCTCTCTTTGCTTTGCGCACACACACACACACACACACACACACACACACTCTCTCTCTCTCTGTGTTTTGCCTTTGCTCTTTCTCACTTGCTCTCCTGCTCTTTTTTTTAGTCTCTCCTCCTCTCTTTTACTTTACTGAATATCTTCATTCATTCTCTTTTCTTATCATTTTTTTTTTTAATTTTCCTTGATAGTAAAGATCAATGCACAATTGAGGAATGGTTTTAGCTTGCCAGAACTGGATAAATCTGAAAACTCAGTACTACTAAATTTTGAATTTCATGACTTGGCAACTTTGGTCTTTGCAGAATGTAAAAGTTATTAAATATTCTTTATCTTAGCATCACTGTAGCTTAGTGATCTGACTATAATAAGATGATTTTAATGTCTGAAATTCAATAATAAACTTTGCTACTGTTATGAGTTTGATCCTCACTATGTGGCCCACAGTTGTCGCTTATGTTCACTTCATGATGCACATTTGTTGCCTTGTACTGAGCTTTCATAGATCAACAAGAGATTACTTTCTTTTCCTTCATTAAAATGTCCAACAAAACAAAGATATTGCATTTGATTTCCATTTTTTAAAGCTTTTTAATCAGAGAATGAAAAATGATATTCAATTCAACACAGTGATGATAATTTAGAGATTTTTTTATTCAAATATTAAGATGACATTCTGTTATTGTTCTTTTTTAATTGGTTTTAATTGATACAATCATAGTCGAGTCTTTCACCTGAAACCAAAGGTAAATGAAAGTTTTGTTTTGTTTGTTTTTTTTTTGTTTCTTTTGTAGGAAGTTATTGAACAATATACAGCCTTCTAGTATATTCACATAACTTCCTTATGTTCCTCTATCATTGGTTTTACTCTTTTTTTTTTCTTCTTTCGTCTTTTCATTGCTTAATAGTCTGTGTTGTTTCAGGTGGCTCATCATTTGGAATCATCTGTTGATGGTATCCATTCTCATTATTTGGGAAAACAATGCCAAGAACATATTTTTCAGCCCCAAGCTGTGTTGTTGATATTATTATTATATGATGATTCTTTTGGACTGGCATTCTCATGTTGCTTTTATTTATGTTAAAAACATAAAACCAATCATGATGAGAATGTTAATGCTTTTTTGTTTTTCAGATGCAAAATAAAGAAAAGACATTTTTAAAAATGTTTTATTTTTGTAGGTTTTGTTGTTAGTGTCAAATATTTTTTACTATCATGGAATTGCAAAATGATTTATCTGTGAGTATGAGATAGGTATAAATTTTTCTGTTATTGTGAGACAATTTGTCTGAATTTCTGGGATGAGGAGTTATCATTATTTACATTCAGACCATTGCCCTTGTCTTTTTTGTTGCTATCACAATGTTTCAGCTGTTGTACCCACTGGCCTTCATCATGTATATATCAATCTAAGTAACCTACAGGGAATTATAAACTGAACCCTTTTTACATTATGTACCTGTACTTTGCATTTGTTAATCTCTTCTTCAGTACTTAGATTGATTTCTCTGTGTTCTATATTTATAGATCTCACTTTTAGTTGACATTTTTTCAGCTTTTAAGAGGAGAGCACCATAAAGATAGTGATTAGAGAATATTTAATATTTATTTATCAGTGCCAGGAGCAAATTGACAAAAATTCTTCTGCCTAATTTGTTAAGTGGCAAAAAGATTTTTTGTTTGCTGAATACAACTGGGTTGTTTTTCATTAACACCATTCTCAATATATCAAGACTTTATACATGTTATTGGTGGTGTCATCATTTATGAGAAAATCAAGTTTCTCACATCTGTCTATTGATCAACTGATTTTTCCTTTGCTGCTCTATCATTTTTATCTTTGCTGTAAAGCTTCTTACCAGTGTTTCAATACATCATTCATTAATTATCTTTCATTACATATCCAATTAGATTGTCATTACTAGACAAGCATTCCATGATTTGATCTCTAAAATATGAGTCCATCTTTTAAAGATGTTCCAATTAAACAGATTTCAAAAATTCAGCCATTCAGATTTTGGGACAAATTATTTACCAATCATTGTTTGTTCTATCAACACTTTGATTTTTTTTTTTTTTAATTTTCTTTGTAACTGAACACTGCAGTTTAAGAATCTTAACAAAAAAAACAAATGACTCAAATACACAATATAAAATTAATACTATTAAATGTTTGTTTTCTAGACAATTTGTATATTTGATGCAAGGAATTATTTTATGGAAAATCTGATATTTTCAAGTTTAAAAAAAATATTTAAAATTTTTAAAATTCAAAGGAAAGGATAAGTTTTTTTTTTTTTAAATGGAATGATACAAAGTGAAATATATAAATAGTTTTGCTAGGTTAAAGAGAATAAATATCAGGTCATCTCATAAGTGAAATCTGATATAAATAGATTGAACTTTAAGATTGCATTGAAGTGACCAAGAAGGGATTCTGGAATAGTGATGTTTATTAGAGGTGGTTTGGCTGAGAACTTTTCATTGTACTCTTTTATATTGACTAAACATCAGATTTAATTTATTTTTAAAAACTTCTTATTTAGCTGGCAAACATTTCAGCAACCTCTCATGTGCATTTGTGTGTGAAATATAGAATTAATACAAGTAAAAGGTTTCTCACTTAGCTGATTGATGTTACCTTCAGCATCCTGATGCCAGAGTTTCATAGACAGACCCTCCAGGAATCACTCTGTCCACTTGTCAGAGGGTATCAGCAATTGACTGTTTATACTTCTCCATTTTTCTTTCTTATATGCACTTTTCATTGGTGCAAGTATATATATATATATATATATATATATATATATATATATATATAAAATAAAGTAGTAAATATAAAAAGCTTCTCAAAAGGACTATGCTAGTAATGAAAGAAATATTAAATGATCAATTCCTAATCAACATTCATAAAAATCAAATTCTATTTAACTAATTGATACTATGTCATTTCCCTAATCGCACTATTTGTTTTAGTGTGGAGTCAATTTACTTGTCTTAGTCTAGCAAAAACCAGAAATAGGGATTAGGAAGATTGTGATGAGTCAGTTTTCCAAATAAAGGAAGCCCTCCTACCTGGAAAAGCAACAAATAAAACATGATATTGCCCTCAGGTGACTTGCACAGATGCGAAATACTGATTTATTTGCTAAACTTTAGTCGAATATGTGATGCAGCCAGATATAGACAAATCTCTTAGCCAGAAGCAGTTAATAAGAAGTTTGTTTAATTGTTGGAAGAAATAGAAATGAGTTTTAATTTAAATCTGTGATCGTTTAACTCCTTGTCATCTCCATAACAGGAAATTCAATGTCCCAATTTAATACCTAAAAATGGGACAAAATTTGAAATAACCATTTTCAAATTTAAGAAAATAAATAACTATATATACAAAGGCCTGATTTTGTAAGCAGTGCTTGCATTAATTCCTGACTACTAACTGTCTTTTTCTTTCTTATTTTCAATGCATATCTCTATTGAAATCATTAGTGGTGCATATTTACATTTGGTATAATTCACCAAATCTCTTCTTTTTGTCTGTCATTGCATAAATTAAAAACAGATAGTTATGGCCACCAATTTTTCTCTGTAGCTTGATTTTTGTATATTTGCTGAGATGTTAGTGTTGGGTTTGGTTTACAATGCTCAACTGAACCCTTACTTTGTGTCCATCAGGTTAGTTAAACTGAGTTTTTATCTTTTTGATATTTGTATAGAGTAGACAACTTGCTGAAAATTCCCAGACATTTTAAGTTTCTAAACGAAGGTTTTTAATTTACAATGTAAATATAATGTTAAACTAGACCCTTATTTTATGTTCATCTAAACTGATTCTTTATCTTTCTGTTTTACCATGTAAAAAACAAATAAAAATATTATTTTTGCATTGAGTTGTTTTCCTCAGGCCCTTTTGCAATCATAGAAAAATCAATACTAAAGTAAATTATGATGTTCTCTCTGTATTTTTAGGATGAGCAATATTCACCAGGGATCTGTAAACATTAATCTCTTGAAAACTTTTACCTTGTATTTCCACATCCCAGTAATTTTGATGAGTTTATTAACTTGTAAGTCCTCACAAAAACATATTGTTGTATAGCCTGTATTTATTGCTCCAATAAAAATCTGTTAAAATATCTGGCTACTTGAAATCTTTTATGAAATTTCTCCTCCCAGATAATTAAATTAAATGTGATCTAATATTTGATTGTGGTGATTTTCAAATAAAGTATGATTGTGAATAGATACACTGTTCAAATTAATGATTTCTTATTAAATGAGGCCCAAAGGCTATATTCAAGCCTTCTGCAAGAACTAGCTTAAGATTTCACCTGTAAATCAGGTTATCAGATAGTACAATAAAATAGCCCTATCCTATAGGTTGTACTTGCAGTAATAATACTTAGCAAATGATAATTTATTTTTTCCTGATTTTCAATGCACAATGCATTACCAAAATTTAGTAAAATAAATTTTAGGTCTAAAAGTTTTTAATCTAATCATGAATTTTATTTTCTCTATTACCATGATTAAAATAATAAGAACAGAGTGGAATAATGGTAAAGTCAGTGGGCAACAACAGAAAAAGTTGAACCCTTGCTTATGCAGTTAAAATTCAATCAGTGTTATAAAACAAATAACATTTTTTTCTCTAGGATCAGAATTTGTGTCTCTGGATGTAATCATGAGAGTGAACGAAAGTTTTCACATATTTGTTTAATTATACCAATATTGGATTTGCAGAAACATCTAGTTTGTAAATTTAAAAAAAAAAAACAATTTCCAAATAAATAGTTTCTAAAAAAAATAATTTTTTTTTTGTTTTGTTTCAGATTTCTTACATCCATAAATTGTCTGAGACTGTTGGTACCGAGTGGATATATTGCAGGTGACCCAGGGACGTGGCTACTGGAGCCACACAAGAACTGTCACGACAAAAGCCCACTGCTGGAATGAATATGCCATCCAGCAAAGGGCACTCTTTGGTTGGAGATGGCCAACTGGCCAAAACAGGAGTTGGTGATGAGAATGATCCCATTCGAGGTAATATCGGAGCAAGAGAGAGCAATGGCAGTGCAGACTGTAACATGAGCTATGCTTCATCTATAGTACAAATGATGGACCCTAATTATAACAGGAGTCGAATTACCTACAGCCAAGCTGACCATGGTCGAGCTCCAATCGGACCTGATGGGCCTTCAGTGGTCAGTCATCACCAGCTGATGGACAGCCATCCCAGTTATAATGGCAGCAATCAGGAACGGAGTCACCATGCCATCACTCCAGATAATGTCCATCCTTCTGTTGGTCATCAGCTGATGGACAGTCACCCTGGCTATGATAGTGTAGCTCGGGAGAGGGGTCGTCATTCAATAACTCCTGATAATATCCAGGCACACCAGTACCTGGCTTCTGCTCGAACCACATATGAACCTCCAACTGACCAAGGGCATTCTGATTCCCAGCAACTTTTGAGTGGACGACCAAATTATGAGGGTGTTCCAGACAGGAGGCCCACACTCACTCCTGATAACCAAAAAACAAGGGAGACTGCCAAATCCATATTGCTCAATAACTCTAAGCAAAAATATTCACAGCATGCAGGTGGTATTGTTGACCCTCAGATGATTAAATATGAACTGCCAGATTTGACCGGAAACATTCCTCCTATGGGGAATGAAAATTTGTTGTATAAGGAAGTCTTTGTAAACTCATATGATAAGGTGTTAAATCGCTGTTTGGAAAATTCAGTCATTCATCAAAATGGCTTGGTGGATGTCACTTCAGCTCATAAAATTTATCCTTATGCCAGGGATTCACACATTTCCCAAGAAGGAGCATCAGGAAAAATGATGGTGCCTTCTGCCATGTTAGCTCCTTCCTCTGCAGAGAGTCTCATTGGTAGGCAGGGACCTTCAACTGGATTGGGAGATATAACAGGCAAAGCTAACAATTTACAAGATGACCACCAAACCAGAATGGATACAGGACCAAAAATGTGAGTACATTTTTGTTTTCTTTTTTTTCTTCTTTTCTTTTTTTTTTCTTCTTTTCTTTTCTTTTCTTTTCTTTTTTCTTCTTTTCTTTTATATATATATATATATATATATATATTTTGTTTGTAATCTTTACATTGCTGAAATAGTGCATTGTATACAAAGATAATGAATAAAGCTACTCCTAAAAATGCATTGAATTAAAGAAAGCAAAAATAATTGTGAAAGATTTGCAACTAAAAAGGCTATGATCTAGATTTGTGCCTAACTGAAAAAAATGATTTATCAATGGAATCAGAGGAAGTGAATTAAGTTACTTGTAAAAGTATACTCACTTAAAAAGTGATGAAAAAAAATTGAATGGTATGCACCTGAATGATAAGGTTAGGGGATAGTGTTTGCACTTGATTGGAAGCTGGAAAGAAGTATTTTTTTAAGGGAGTTGGTTGTTAAATCTTAATTAAAAAAATCATTGATTATTAGGTGACCAAACAGTTCAAAGGGTCATCTAGTATAGATTCATTTTGTCTTATTATTACTCATTAGAACTGGAATTGTCATGTTTTCTAAAGAACAATAAGAACTTGTTTGTAATAAAGTCATTTTATTTCTTTTCTTCATTGATAAGAGTTCATATTTTATCTTATTGCTGATTCTGAGAGAAGAATGCTTTGTCAGTATGCTAAAAGCATCACTATTTTCCCCATATATATATATATATATATATATATATATATATATATATATATATATATAAAATGTGTGTGTGAAAATTATCCTGTTGATTTCAATATATGAAGAGCCAACAATTTGGCTAGACTACCCACACATGATCTGATTATTGTGGTGAAGGCTTGTGTAGAACTGATAACAGAAATAATGCACAGTGTTCTACAAAATTACCAAACAGCCTCCACTCTCGGGTTTAAATTCAGAGCTTTTCTTCTTTTAAAACTAGCTACCATTCAAGGCAAAAGAGAACAGTCTGCCCTGCTATTTGACCCAAAGGTGAAGAATAATGGATTCATGCTTTTTCCAAGACCTGAGCAAGTGTACAAAACAGAATGGATTTTGAGTTTGAGTTCTGCTCAAGAATTTCACTTTCTGCTTTCTGCACACCCTACAAAGATGTAGACAGTGTGAATATAGGAATCAACACCTGCATGGTGATTGCCAGTTTCACACCTCAAGTTATCCTCAGACTTTTGCCTAAAGGAGAAAATAATAATAATAATCACTTTTTCAGAATAATAATAAACTCTAAACCAAAGATCAGGGCTCTTTTCCAAATGCAAACATGAAAACAAATTCCTACTACACTATCATGACCAAAAATGACTAAATCCCATACCCATGATTTTATAGACTTCCTATGTCCACACTGTCTCTGATATTAAACTTCCCCTGTAAATATAATAAATCATATTGTCTGAAAAGTAATCTGATATTTAATATTAATGAAAAAGTAGTCTACCAGGGGAAATGGTGCTTTGGTTCCTTTCAAAGTGTCCCCTTTGAGGCTTTATTCACTTATCTCATCATTCTTTAGGTGTCATCATTAGCTGCCTTATTGCATTGACTTTAATCTTATCAAAAGTGTGAAATCCCACCTCCAGCTTTCAAACTAGAAGTTGCAAAGAGCATATATATATATATATATATATATATATATTGTAGGTCACTGACAGACCTGGATTATGCAAAGTTTTGCCAAAAATATACTTACTATTGTGAGTGTGATGGTCATGCAGTACACAAGTTCCATTCATTTTGCTTCTCATTGCTGACTGAGTAATTCCGCAGGTGAGTGTCTGTTCAAACACAATGCAACAATTTCTCCACTGATTCATTGCCAAGTTATATCCAGGCTGTGCAACTGGTTCTCAATATATTCAAAAATGACTAGATCTTTTCTGAACATATTTGTTCAGAAATATACACATTAAATATATTTATATAGAAGGAAATGCATGAAAATTACCTACCCAATCCACTTTCCAAAATTTGATTATCGTGATTTGAGGAGGAAGGGGTTGTTAGTCACACAAAGAACATTTTTAATGAAAGATACAACTTGGTTTATTCTCTTATGGTATATATAATCTGAAATCTGCCAAGACTTGGGTGGAGTCAATTGAACTAATCAAAGAAATTTTACAATTATCAGAACAGATCAAAGCCTTTGTCATGATCATTGGTTGGTTAAATAGTTAATTGAATTTTTCCATTGCATTCTGATTAACCATGAAATCCTTTCCTTGTTTCTTGGCCCTTGGTCATGAAATCTTTTGTTCTCTAAACATTTAAAAGATTGACCATCAATTTTTATGCACATTTGATATCACTAGAATCAGAAAGAGAAATTATTCAAGCTAAAATTTTATTTTTAAGGTTATGCTGTCATCTTGCCTTCTGTTTCATTTTAGCACTTTAATTCCAAATGCTGGAATCTTTCTTTTTGAGTTCTTGGCAAATAAACTTTCCACTCACACCCAACCCATTTGCTTGTTTTAAAGTTTCAAGTCATTTTTTAACAAATACACTGATCTTAGTCAAAAGCTGCAAATATTTTTCCTGAAGATAAAACTATAATGAAATGATTAAAAAAAAAAAAAAAGTAAATTTCAAGAGGACAGAATTGCAAGAAAAGAAATAAAATAATATAAAAATAAAATCCAATGTTATTTTCAATTTTTCAACTAATTTTCTTAAAACTGAAGACTTTTTGAATTGATCTCTTTATATATTACTTGCATGTAACCTGACAAATATCAAACTTTAGATATACATTCTTTTATATATAATGTATGAAAACTAGTAATATCTAGCTGCTTAGTGGCCAAAATAGTTGCATATTTTCACGAGAATCTGTTGTCAGCATTTAAGACAATTTAGAAACCAAGGTTCATTCTCAAAACAAACTGACCTTCCTTGTTTGCAAATCGACACAATACAATATTTCATAAACTAAGTTGGGTAAATATATTAGCTAATGATTGAAAATGGTTTTAATTTCTCTTTATATTTGTAGGCATATATTTTTCATTTAGCTGGAATGTACACTGATGTGTCAAAAGTCATGGGATAGCAATATGTAAAGGTCTTGGTAGTTGGCACCACCATACATGGATATCATAGAAATGCCCAGTCCTATATCAGTTGTGCTCTATCTGCTGAGTCACTGTGAACATTGTCTTTCCATATCCATCAGAGTTTAAATAGAGCAGGTGCCTGATGGATGAAACATTTCTGAAATTAATATCTCCCTCAATCTATGGTGTCTTGTGTGTACCAGGAATACTTAATGATTGTAACCAGATGTTTGGCCAAAAATGTCTGCAGTAACAGACAAGTAACACAGACTAAAATCACATCTGCATTCAATGCAGAAGGTACAAAATACATAGCTAGCAGGTCAGTTTAACTTCCATTAGATATAGGAACAGAATAACCACCAGTGTACCCACCCTTCCTGATAACACGGAAACACTCTAAAATGGGAACAGTACTTCAATTGGGATCATGGTACTCTAATAAACAACACGGTTCAATGAATTATGTCTAAATTTGTTTCAATAGAAGGGTTTGGATGTGGACAGAGTCCCTATGGGCCAAAAATGCTAGTTGGCAACAAGGCATAGAGGAAGGTTGGTGGTTGTTCCTAAATGGTGGTGGTGATGTTCAGATGGCATAGATTGGGTCTGCCAGTCTGCCTAAAGATATTGACTGGTGACCACTGTTGCACTGCTTTGTGACCATTTGTACCCATTCATGGACTCCATCTATCCCAACAATGATAGGTTATTACTGCAGGAAAATGCACAGTATCGTTGGGCCCAAGTTGACCAGAATTGGTGTGACTACTATGTTCACTCAAGGTAAGCTCAGTCATTTATATAACATGGTGGAGAGGTCTATTTGAATGCAAGATATTGGAGAGTTGGAGACAATTGTTGAGAAGGCATGGCTTAACTTTCTGCAGAAATGTTGATACCTGCCATGGAATCAATCTTGTGGAATTAATGCCACATCTAATTGCTGCACATCACCACTCTAGAAGGGGTCTTACACAATACAAGACACCTATGCTATGATTTTTGGCATGTCAGTGTATATTCTTGAAAATATTCCCATAATATATGAAATTAGTCCTGCTTGGTGACTGAAGTGGTTGTTTACTTCTTCCTTCTGGTTGATACTTCATGCTACGTAAAAAGTCAACATTTCATACAATTTGAATATTGCTGCAACACAGTCTTCCAATACTAATTTCAATCCATGCTTAGTAAATATCTGATAAAAGTATTATTATTGCATGTATAGAAATTTGTTAAAGGAAAAAAAACATTTGTTGCAGGTTTGTGAGTGTCTGGTTGTCAAACACTTCAAATTTCTGAATTTGTTGATATTGAAAAGGGTTTCTGATAACAAAATGGGCCTTTGGATACATCCTCATTTTATCTCTAACTCTCTCTCTCTCATTTACATTGTCTCTCTCACTCTATCTTTCTTCTGTCTCTCTTGGGTGCCTTCTATCTCTCCCTTAACTATTCTTATGTGCCTTCTCTCTCTCGTTCTCTCGTGCACCTTCCATCTCCCTCTACCTCTCCTTGTGTACCTTCTCTTTCTCTCTCCCTTGTATATATTTTTCTATCTCCCTTCTTCTCACTCACTTCCATTATCCTGTGTGTGTGTGTGTGTGTGTGTGTGTGTGTTACATTATCACCCTCACAAAAGTCATCTTTCTCTTTGTCACAACTAAAAGCACATACTTTGAAAAAAAAAAAAAAAATGTATGTCTCTCTGACATCAAATTTTTGTCCTTCCTTTTGATGAAGGGATGAAGTTTTTTCTTGGAAGGCAAGAGAATCCTGGTTGAGGTATAACACACTTGTCTGGTCTGTGCGCCTATGGTTTGGGGCTCCAGGGAATTAGCACTATAGAGGGCAGCTGATACCTTTTTGCCAACCACCTCTTCCTCACTCTCCTGACAATTTGGTAATATTGTCTGGCTTCCACAGCATTCGCAATCAGACATTCTCCTGGTTCTTTTTTCTTTTCTTTTTTTCTTTTCTTTTTTTCTTTTCTTTTTTTCCTTTTCTTTTCCTTTTTTCCTTTTATTTTCCTTTTTTATTATTTTCTTTTTTATTTATTTTTGCTTCTCTCTTAATTTTTATTTTAAGAAGTGAGACAAAGAGGGAAGAGATAAAATTTATAAATATGTGCACTCTCTTGGCCCCCAAATGTTATGTGAAGTGTGAGAATTATGAAAGATTTTTAGAATGTAGTTTTCTTTTCAGTTTTATTGATGTTGATATTTTTTTTTATTTAACATAGTACCCATCAAAAATGACATGATTATTTACATATTGCTCATCACTTCTGCCTAGGACCAAAGCATTACTTCCCAGTACTTCTGCTTTGGATCAGCATAATATCTGTGCACTTTGAAAAGTATTACACACACACACAATCATAGTCATATCCACTCTTTTTATTTTTACACAACAACAGAATTGGGAAGGTATATGTGGTAGGGAGAATAGAAAGAAAGATGGAGAAAAATGAAAATGGAGTATAGAAGGTGAAAATGAAAAACAGACAGCAGGCTGTCTTGAGTTTTATTGCTTCTTAACCTTCTTTGATTTTTTTTTTTTTTTTTGTTAAACAGTGGGTCCATCTTTAATTTTATTTTCCTCTTTAGAACATGACATACTTTTACATAGGAAGGTAGGTAGCTATTAGTATTTAATATATTGGTCAGTTGATACATTTTTATATATTTCTGAAAAAGATTTTTTTTTTTTTTTAATGTAAGAAAAAATATTTTTACAACTTGATATCTAAAAATATTTTTGTTTCAGTAGAGAAATCATTTGAAGTCTTTAGATTAGTGAGTCTATTAGTCATATCTAATTTTTCAAATTTTCCACTATATTATTGTTCCTCTTTTTTCTTTTTCGATTTTTTCTTTTTTGTCTTCCTTTTTTCCTTTTCCTTTTTCCTGTACTTGACACCTTCATACTATTTTTGAGAGGCAGCCAAATACTTTTTCTTTTATATTATTCCTTTATTTTTTAAAATTCAGGCTAAAAAAATAATTCACAACATTATATTTCCTCCACCAATTTCACTTCAACTTGATTAAAATGGCATTTGTTTCTAACACAATATTTTTATAAGGTTTTAATCTGTAATCTTTGATATGTGTGTTTGCAATTTGATAAAGAAATCTCTCTCCCCCCCTTCAGGTGTGTCTGTGTGTGTGTGTGTGTGTGTGTGTGTGTGTGTGTGTGTGTGTGTGTGTGTGTGTGTACACCATCAAAAACATGACATTGTCTTTGGTTATCGCTTCAGGTAACTAAGCATAAAACCAAAATAAAGCCTTGCATGTTGAACTGAAGGTTTTATTTGACATTTTCAAAATGGTCAGAAAAAAATCTGTCCAAAACTGATAAAAACAGGTATTTGAAGACATTTATTTTTAATTATTTGAAGAGCATTATTCACCAATTTTAACAGATTTCTTAGTTGATGTTTGTTATAAATTTATAATTATTATTATACATTAATTTTCAAGTAAAGCTACAAAGCTTGTCAATCGATCAGCCATGCCTAATATTGATGTCTGTTTAAATATTATGGATTTCTGATCTGCAAAACTGAATTCAACAAAACTTTATGTGTGTATGTAATATGACCTTGCAAGCATCATTGGTAACAGAAAAATTAGGATTTTCCCAATTTTGTAAATGCAATGGTTAAGTTTTTCATTATATGTACTTTGAAAATCAAACTTCCAATTTTTTACATTAATCTTTCTCAAAATTTCAAGAAACATAAATCAAATTCAATCAAAGAAGAAAATTTAATTAAAAAGAAAAACCTCTGTTTTCAGGCTTGTGCAATCTTTGTGGTTTATTTATATTGTAAATAATATAACTCCTGCTACAACTGCCATCAAAAACTATTCATTTTAGACAATTTTTTAAGGGTTGATCAAACACTTGCCTACTTACTTCCAGGTCTGATATTCAGTTCCTTACAAGATTTCCCCAAACAAATACTTTATACCATTTTATAAAAGCAATGTATTTAGAGAAACACTTGTCTGTTTCTAGATTCCAGATTTTTTTCATTATCTCAAAAATGAATAAGTAAATGTTTTATATTCTCTATTTCCACATTGTAAAATTTTATCAAACCAAAACATGTTTTTCTTCATACATGAAAATACATTGTATTACTTGGAAATAAATTCTTAACATGAAATAAAAAGATGTCCATATATTTTGTAAATTAAGTGAGCAACAATTGGAATTTGTAGTTGAGTATTACTCCATTTTGAAATTCCATGTCTTTGCCAGAAGACTTACAAATACCAGTTCAAGTTTATGTCGACTTAATTAGAATTTATTAATATAATAACATTATTATTATGCAAGTTTTTAATCTTCAGTTATAACTCTAATTGATGTGGATAATAAATATATACACAGTTCATCTGAAGTTTTGCTTTGAACAATTTTTGTCAAATTTTGAATTATTAATTAAACCATCAAAACAGAACTTCAGTTAAATTTTTAGGTAGTTTCAACATGTTTTCTTAAAGTTGATTGGATTTATTATCAAAATTGCAGTCTGAAGTTCTTATGTTGATAAAACTAATATTAATTTAAGACCTGAAATCTAATAAAAACTATTTTTTCTTTTTTTCTATAATATATGTTGAAAGATGGGTAATAGATAGGATTGAACAGGAAATAAGTCTTTGTATGAGGGAATGTCCACATTGGAGAAAATCAAAGGAATTGAGAGAGTCAAGAAGGACAGAAGGTGCAGAAATACTTTGCAAATTGGGATTTGTCAAGAAATCTTCTAAGAACACTCCTGTCAGTAAAACAAATATTTTAAAGTGTGAAATTGATTTTTCAAAAATAATTTTCATGGATAAATCTCTGGTGACACTTAATGGACCTGATGGATAAGCCAGAGGATGGATTTTATCTTATACAGATGTGGCTGTGGCTAAAAGAAAGTAGCAAGGAGATGGTAGTATGATGATATGGGCAGGAATTGTCAACCAAACCATTATTGAGCCATTCAAAATCAATGAAAAGTTAAACTGAACAGTGATAACTATTGTCATTTCATGGACAAGACTTTCTTTGATTGATACAAGTCCCAGACTCTGAATTTCAAAGTTTGTATTTATGCATTTATGTTTACAGAAAAGCAGATAATGGAATGGCCACCATTAAGTCCTGATCACAAGCAGATCAAAAACCTATGGTCAGTTGTGAAGTTTTATATTATGATGGCAAACAATATGACAACAATGTAGACATATGCGAAGCAAATAAAACCACCATGCCAGAAATTGAACCTGCTGAAGTAAAAAAAATTAACAAAGTCAATGGACAATAGATTACTGGCTATTATTAAGAAGAGACACTATATTAAGATGTAAATGCTTCAAAGACATATCATATATGTTTGTTATTTGTTCTATTCCAATTGTTGATGATTTTATTACCTTGTTATTGATGCAAATTGTAATTTTCTGGTTTTGCACAACTTCAGAATGCAATTTTTTAACAAATCTAAAAACTATCTAAAAATTTAACTCAAGCTTTGTTTTGACATCAAAATTGTTTAAAATTTGATAATTGTTCAAAGCAAATTCAAGTTATTGAGGTTTATGTGATTTGCATAATAACTTCATACTGACTGTATGTGTATATACACACACAAGGTGTGCTGAGAATGTTTGTCTTTCTTTCATGTTTGACTAATAAATAAGATCTCTGTTGTCACTAACAGTGAAGATAAAAAAATCATATTCAGTAGGATGTAAAATCTTGTCAGTGTGACATTGAGTTATAGCATTTGTTAGTCATAAATACTAATGTTTATGTCTAAAGAAGAAATTTCTGCTTTAGGAAATGACAGTTTCATAAGTGAAATGTTGAGCACACAATACATTGAGATGATTGCATGAAAATGTATGTGGTCGTGGTCAGTCACTGCCCACTTGAAATTATATATATATATATATATATATATATAATACAATTGAAAAATATGTGAAAATAAGAATTTAATGTATTTTTTAGGCTGCCAAAAGTGCTCAATAAATATAACTAAAGCTAAAATATTCAATAAATCAAAGTTCAAGTGGCTTATCTGCTTAATCCACTCTAGAGTTTTACATCAAAGATGAACGTTTGAACAGGTGCTACAAATTATTTTCTTTGTTCACATTTCAAGCTTGAACCAGATGTGAGCAAACATCAAAATTTCTTTTGGAATCCCTCCCTAGTCAGGCTGAAAACTTTTCAACAACTTTTTATATATGTACATGCGCACACACACATGACAAAGACATAACAGTGAGCAAAGGAAACCCTGTTTTGCTTCAACATGTATACACCAAAAGTTGTGGTCCTGATATTTTTAGTGAACAGATTATCTCATCAACTAGGACAAGCTCAAAATGCAATTGTCCAATAATCAATGGAGCTCAGCATATACTAAAATTGATAAAGATAAAAAAAAAAAAAACAAACCTCAAAACATGATTGATTGACAAAATGCTTGATGATATGCTAATTATATTGGTGCTCTGTTTGTCTGTGTGGGTGGGTGGATGTGTGTGAGAGTGTGTTTTTGTGCACATATGAGATTCTATGACAGGAACTGAAAAGTTCTTGGCCCAGTCAAAAAATTAATTTGATCAGATTTGGGAAACTCTCCGTCTTTTATCAACCCACCTCATAGATATGTGTCTGTTTCCTAAAAGTCAAAATGGCACTTGATAATGGTTAGTTGTCACTGGCCAGCATTGATTGAAGATGTAACTGCTTCATGGCAACTTGACCATCATGGTCACTTCTCCTATCTCTGGGCAATGCCCAGTTAAAATCAGGATGTCTATTGATAGCTGTTGTGTACTTAGAATTTAATATTCCTATTGTCATGGTATCTTTTTTGTTGAACTTCACTGGAAATTTAATATAAAAAATTTTATATCAATAATGATCAACACTGGAGTATAATTAAAAGAAATGTAATAAATAGTTTAATAATTAAAAGAAATTTACTGTAGTTGTATAAAGAACTTCAAAATGTTAATTACAAGTGAATTAAAACAGTAGCTGTGTGTGCATT